AACTACCAAGATCAGATTAATGCAATTCAGGGCACTGAATCACAACAAAATAACAACTGAAACTCTGTTCAGGATCACATAGAATCACAGGGAAAAAATAATCCCTTATGCCAAAATAAAAATTAAAAACTTCTTTAAAGATGGAAAATAAGTTGGTTTCAAATGAAAAAATAATGAACTTTTTCCCAAGTGATGGATATAACAAATGGTAGGATAAATCTTTTTTGTTAATAGAATACTTAGTTCATTTGCTTATCTGAAAGCAAATATTTTTTCCAAAAAGTCCTTGGAGAAAGCTGCTGGTAGAATTACATTACCTCTAAGTGCATCAAGATTTTGCAGTGTCTCAAAGTCAAGAGAGACAATTGAAGGCAACCCCTTGCTTGATGCAGCTAATTCCATGAGTTCCAAACGCTCATCGTCAATAAGTTCCATGGATTCCTTAGCAATTCGGCGAGCAAGAGCTCTCTCATTTGCAGCTTTGAGCTTTGCTGCCTCCCTTGCTCTACGTAGTTCTTCCTTTTGTTTCATTTTCTCAGCCTGAACAAACAGACAATGTCTTGATCTTTTACTCTTATCAAGTATAATTAAACAACTCATGATAAGAGTCAACTGAAGTTACTCTAATAGATTCCTTCTGCAAGACCTTCTCCTTTCTCTCCTTCTCACGCTTCTGCTCTCGAAGATATCTCTCCTCCTCTCGCTGTCTTTCACGTAAAAGTTTTTCTTCTTCTTTCCGTCTTTCACGGTCATGCTTCTCCATTTCTTTCCTAATTTGCTCTTCTCTCTTAACATACAAAATAACAAAGATAAATTAGCATACAACATATAAGTGAAACAGAGAACAGGATGATAGCAACCAGACCTTTCGCCTCAAAATATCTTGTTTTTGAAGCTCTTTCTTGATCCTTTTCTCATGGGCTTCAATTTCTCGAGCTAATCTTGCTTCTTCACTCTGCAGCAGATAATTAACATACATGAAGTACTAACCAATAGCTACGGAAATGGGAACCACCACAAAGAATTAAGTACCTTCCGTTTCCTTTCCATTCGAGAAACATCCTCATCATGAATAACCCTTCTGTCTGAAGATACAAACGGATTCTCCAGTGCAGTAATCGGATGAGTACCAAAATTTGCATCCATAGGGGTATTTGTAAAGGAATTCTTTTGTGGAACATTGTCACACTCTCCAGAAGACAGTAGGTAGCCCTGCCTGCCTTGTTGAGAAAGAAGATTCAAATTAGAAGCCTGAGTTGGAAAACCATATCCACTGGGTATTTTTTCATCCCCATGCAGCAATAAGTGACCAGCAGATGTCACTGAAGACCTGGCATTTGAATTCTCAATCAGTGAGCCATAATGGTGGGATGAAGAAACTCTTTCGTACTGGTCAGCTCTAACACTTGGCTGCTCCGGAAGAAACTGGTATTCACGAAGTATCCTGCCTGAACCCTGAGGATGAATACATTCAGATGTCAATTATTTCAGATTCTAGTATCACTAGGAAATGTAAAAGAGAGCAACCAAAATGGTGCATAGATCAGGCATGATCAGAATGAACATGATGAATTATTTTATCAATTTGTTTCTAAAGATTATTTTTTCAAAGTAGGACAACTACAATTTAGTTTGATAAAGAAAGTTGAGATCAGTTCTTTCAAAATAATATATGTAACTTAAAAAAAAAACCACAAAATATATTGTGTATACTAATTGCCATCAATTGGTTAACAAATTCAACAATCCCAAAAGAATAAAAAATTCAACCGTTCATATTGTGCTAGTTCAATTTAGTTTACAATAATCACAAAGTAGTAATTTTTCTACAAAGCATTTATCTATGTTAAATTAAACCTTAACAATTAGGAAAAAAAGATAATTTCAATAAAAGATAAACAGAAATCTTAAATCTAATTGGAGTTAATATGAAGGCTGAGTGTATCTTGTATATCTAAACTTACAGATGTAGGTTAAATTTCTGGAACTAACAAGACTTTCTAAGGCTAGAGTCTTAATTAATATTCATTCACCCCAACAAAGAATTTGTCTCTATCATATAGCATATTGAGACAGCCCCAGTAGACGGACCATTTGACAACTATCAGATCACATGTTGTTCCATGCTTTCAACTCCATCCCTAAACCCATCCACGGACCAACTTTATTTCCCGGTAGGGAGGGAGTGGGGGTTCCATAAGCTCTGTACTCAAACAGTTACTGTAGAAAATCAAAACTTTCACTGTTACATATATGTGCGATGAAATGACCTTAATCCTTAAAAGACCTGTACACTGAAATGCTGAAAATGGAAAAATCAAACACGAGCAACAGTATCACATCAAGCTTGAACATGGGCGGAAGTAACCCAAAATGAAGCTTTGAAAAAAAGAAAGGACAATATAGAAATTGTTTGTGCCATGTAACAAAGAGAACAAGTCTAACCTTGATTAACTTTGTATCAGGATGATCATATATTTTGGCCCCGAAAGCCTGCCCAGATTGTGTATGGTGCAATGATGTAGCTGCTCCGAGCACAGAACAAAAACCTTATGAGATGCAAGACAAGAAATCTAGCATTGATTGTTTGTATCAGAATTATTTTTATACATCCACTAGCACTAAGTGTTTAATGCAATTGATGACAAGATGAAGATTCAGAATTTAATTCCCGCGAGGTGTGCTTAGCTACATGATAATAGTTATTAAGAGGCAAATTCAATGAAACAAGAGCCTACCAGGTTTCTCCACAACTACTTTTTAGTACCTATTACAAATTTCTTAATGCATTCTGATTCAGAAAATACGAAACCATATAAAATTTTGAGCAAGTGAGTTCCAACTTTTAGATTTTCCTTCTAAAGGGAAAATCCATTCCAGCTATTAAGTTGATAACCTTTCCATGTGAGACCACCAATGTGCTAAATCACCAATGAAGTCCAATGGTTTTTCTTTCAGTTGCAGGGCAGTCAAAAACTTTTCCAGTTCCTCCTTTTAGGTCCTTTTCTTTCTTCTTATTTCTTCGTTCTCAAAAGACAGCAAGAAATGAGATAGTTGGAAAATGACTTCCCTTCTCATACACCAGAAAGAAGCAATATTTTGATGAGGTAGGTAAAACACAAATATTGTTCTTCTCACCCTCATTTATTTCTCCTCCAAAACGGATTTTCAGCTTTGGCTGAGATGCCAAATTTTCATCACTATGCAGGTGAATCTACTTTGCAGAGTATGCATTAGTCAATGCAATAACTACAGGTCTCTGCATACCAGGTGATTGCTAAAAGAACTAGAGTTTAAAATACAAGTATTGAAAAAGTTGGATAATTTCTTCCAATATCATCTATTGCTTCTGACAGAAACAAGATTAGTAAACACCATTTGTTTTGATATTTGAAATTCTCAGACAAATTCCAAAATGCAAATGCCCTATCCAACAGTACCTTTCTGGCATACAATGAGCAACGAGGGTAACCAGCCGTAGCTGGGATGGCAATCCGAGATTATTTAGGAGAACCATAACAAAAATGTGGTTAATGAAGGAAAACTTAGCTGAAGTTAGGTTTCTATAAGACACTGTTTCAAGATTGTTTCTGTTCAACTCGTCAAGTTGCCTATACATTCGTCACTCATAAACTCTTGCTTTAAGCTCTTCCAGCTAAAGTTATCTGTTTCTCGTAATGATATTCCTGCTAACATTCTGGCCTCCAGTCACTTAGTAGAGAAAAGCATTTGTTGAAGCAAAATCCAACTTTATGGACAAACTCTAGGCACAAATAACAAAAGTATTTCAAGAAATATTAGGGGTTCAATGATTGACCATCAATCTGCCCCCACCTGACCTCATTTGACCTTTGCAATAAAAATTTGAAAGCAATGTTTGTATAATTCGAACTGGAAACAGCTGAAACATGGAAGCATAAAAGTGAACACCAAAGAGAGATATCAGCAGAGTTTCTACGAAGGAAACTCTTCCCACGGACCTAGTATGAGAAAATTTCATATATGAGATTAAAAAACCCTAACCTTTCTAAGAGCTAAACCTAAGCACTCTACACAAGTATGGCAGTCACAACTGCTAGTCTAAGCTTCATGAGTTGAGAGTAAAAAACTCCGCAAGCACTACATCTAACCGCCAAAAGATCATAACCTCATCATACCCCAAGCAGTACAAAAAAAGATCTAGGTCAGTTCTCTGATGAAGATGCAGATCCTTAACTGAAACTGCTTTAACAAATGAATAACCTCAATATTGGCAGAGGAAAACAAAGGGCATGTTGCAACCCAACTTACACTAAGCCATGTTGCAACCCAACTTACACTAAGCCTGTATTCCTTTGCAGATATTACCCCCATCACCATCTCATTACACAAATGCCAGGTATACTCTAACCTAACTTTGAAACTTAAATTTGCATGCACCCCTTCTGAGGTGGATCATCTCTAGAAAAACATCCTCAGATTGTCATTAGCTCTTCAAGTCAGAATCCTCGTTGCTATGAAACAAAGGGCATGTTGCATTCTTATTCGAAAAATACAACTGCGTGAATGAGTTTGCACACAGTTAAGCTTGTAGATAACCTCATAGACAAATTCCCTTAGTTTGATAAGCTATTCCGAGAAATTCATTACTAGCTAACCTAGGTCCAGAAATATAAGCTAAGGCCCACCTCAAACTTCACAATTCCCCTTGAAGCAACCAATTCAATAGATGCAATCACACTACAAATTTGCTAACAGAACCTGGGGGGCAAGGCAAAGCTCACCTATGGGCGCCCCAAATGCACCAGGCGGCAAGGGATCAAACTCCATCCCAAGAATTGGTCCATCCTCCTTCAACGGCTCCCCCAACTGCGCCTCCACGAATGCAACGGCCCGAAGCTCTGCTGCTAACTGTAGTGGTGGTGGCGACGGCAGCCGCGGTGGCTCATGGTACCTCTTCACAACACCAGCAATCCTCGGAACGGCCACTCCAGGCCTCAAAACCAGTCTCCTCGACTCCCCTCCGTGACTGAAGGGACTGGACCTCAGTCCTGAGCCTGGAACATGCTCATTGGCCGCCTCAACCGCTACAATTTCATTGCCATTAGCGGTAAGTCCACCCAGCGAGGGGGAATCCTTGTGCTGTCGCTTAGCCTGAGGTGTTTTCCGATCCTTGAGACGCCTGTGGCAGAACCACATCTGCAGCTGCCGATCAGATAGTCCCAATTGCGTCGATAATTCTGCTCGTGTCGCCTCCGAGGGGTAAGATTCCGCTGCAAGCAGTAAAAATTTAGTTTAAATTTAATTAAAAATTCAAGATCAAACTGAACTTGAGTGATAGAAAAAAAGAAGATAAAAGTACAAACCTGCGTAGGTCTTCTCAAGAATTTCAAGCTGAAGAGCAGTTTTCATTTGTCTCTTAGACCTAGGTTCTCCTCCTTCCGGCGCCGGCTTCTTTTTCTCCCCTTCAGAAGCTGCCTCCATTACCGGAGGAGATCAAAACACCCCAAAAAAAAACCCTAAAATTATCAAAATCGAAATAAAAATTAAATCCGACCCCCTTCCCCCTCTGTGAATCAACCGGAGGAGCAGCTTCTCAGTCAAATTAGAGAGACCGAAAACAGAGTTCACAAGAAATCAAAGATCAATGGCGTCTGAGGAAAAAGGAGGAGGAATTGAGAAAGAAAAACCCCGTTTTTTCTGTCTCTGATTCATCTCTGGAAATGCGACGATTGAGATGTGGGGTGAGATCTGGGGGAAAATGTGAAATAGTTGCATCCGAAAGCATAAATATAAATACAGCAATCCGTCCAATAGTAGAAGTAATCTTGTCAATAATGATGAGAGATTGTTGATGGTTGAAAAATAAAAATAATTAAAATAAACGAAAGACGATAAGAGCGAGAAGAGGATGAGAAAATTAGGAAGATTGAAGGAAGAAAGAGTCGTTTCCATTCTTTTTTTTCTAAGTTTGCTTTTTTGCTTTTTTGTTTTTATTTTGAAAATCTCGAATAAAAATGATTTTGTTTTTGTACCTGTAAAATTTATTCTCGTGTTTGTAGCGAGAAAATTTTAAAAAATATGTAGTAAAATTAATTAAGAAAGAGAAAGAGAGAGAGAGAGAGAGAGAGTTTGGTGTATTGTCAGGTGTTGCTTTTCTTTTTGAAATCTCGATTGATTCACAAATCTGTTTTTATTTTTTGGTTTTTGTGTTTTTGTGGCGTCTGTTTTTTTTTTATTTATTTATTTCAATAACTAAAACGTTTTTCTTTCTCTCTTTTTTTTTTTTTTTATTGGATTTGATCTTTTTGGGTTCTTCCGCTGGTTGGTTGTTGTTCATCTCGGTACGACGCTGTTTTGATTGTCAACACTTCGTAGGCTTGACCCTTCACGCTCCTTTCTGGAGCGTCCCACGCGCTCTATTATACTTCTTTAATCTTTTTTTTTTTTTTTTTGTGTGCTAATGCTCCATCAAATAATAATTTTGACTGAAAAACATTAATTTGACCTCCAGAAATTAAACATTACTTTAAATATGAATTACGTACCATCATCGGTCTATTGTTTGGTTAATTTTATTAATGTTTGGACTAAATTCAGAATTTAGTTTACTTTATTTACTTTATTGCAAATAATGAGAACGTATTTTAATGATTTTTTTCTCAATTCATATAATATTTTGTCAAATTACACCATCTATTGTTGAATATAAATAAAATAAATAAAAAATTATCATACACTATAAATCAACGTAGGTTGCAAATAAAGCTAAGGCATGATGGTGACAAATCTCTATTTAAGTCAATTAAATAATTGGAATACTTTGTTTAATATATTGAGAATGAATTAAATGAGGGAAATTAGGAAGTCTTCTAAGCTTTAACTTGTAATATGTGAAAAATCAAACGACAAATCTCGAGATATTTTTTATAAAAGAATAAAAAGTACGAATTTTTTAGAGAAATTTGTTTAAATTTAAAGTTGTTTTCATCTCCATATTTAGGAACTACCTTTTTGGAGGTTCAAAGTTGTGAAAATTAAGTAAATAATGATTTTTTTTTTTTACGTCAACTACTTATCTTTCGAATTGGATGGTAGTTCAACGTTGTTCACTCTAAAAAATACTGATGTGATGCACGTAATCAATATGTATGACAATGGTAAATTAAGGGTCATCTTAATAATTTTTTTGTGTGTAAACGTAAATGATAACTAAAAGACTTTAGAATTAAATAGTAAATAATAAAGCATAATCACTGTGTAATTTTCGACAAATGATGTATTGTTGAGCAAACTTCTTTGAATTAGTGATATTTTAGGTTTAACTCTTGGTTTGAGCACTTAATTTGTTATCTTGATTCTAATTTAGTTAGTTTATTTTATGCACATTTCCTTTAACCATTTCAAAAGTTTATATCACTAAATGTGCAATTTATATTTTTCTATTTAGTTTCAAGTAACACTTATTTCTTTATAATATTAAATTTGTGAAATTTATTAAAGTTTGAATTGGTGAGTTAGGATTTTATTAGTAAACTAATTTTAAAATATTAATAGTCTTAATTAATAATTATTAAATAATATTCAATTAAGAAAACCATGAATTTTTTAATCACTATTGAAAAGAACGAGAATTATCTTTTTTTTTTCAAATTATAATTTATTAGTTATTGAATGATAATCTGTAATAACTGAAATTTATTTTTGGTTGGAAAAAAAAATGTTATGAATGATAATTATAATAACAAGGATATATATATATATATATGGGTGTATAGAAGAGGGAGAGAGGTGAGAAGGAACGGTGTGGATTGTGGGATAAAGGATGGACGGCTGGGATGATGGACAAGTGGGGTATAAATAGGAGGAAGAAAAGAAAAAAAAAAAGAGAGAGAAATGAGAGGAAAAGAGGAAAAACATAAAGAGAAGAGATGTGAGTGTCGAGAGAAGATTCAAGAGAGAGTTGGAGAAGGAAGAGAAAAGAAGAGAAGAATCGATCGAGGACGGGAACGGGAACTGGAGAAGGAGGAGACGAGTTAGACGACGGACTGACCTATGGAAGTGTGGAGGACGATGAACATCCAAGGTATGGTAAATTTACCTTTTAAATATAGGATATTGGTGAAATGCGGTTTTGATTCTGCAACTTTCAAAATAATGTATAGGCAATAAAGGAAATGGAAGTACGAGATAGGTGAGTGATGGAATAGGAGAACAGAGAGACACAGTAAGTGGCA